TTTTTTTTTTTTTTTTTTGATAAAACAAAACAATAGGAGAAAGGAATGAATTTAATTAGCACCCAAGGGTTGATTTAGTAGTCACTGACGTGGCAGATATATTTTGAGAAATTAGAGTTTAAAAATTCCAATAGAAACGAAAAAAAAATAAAAAAAAATATGAACGATCAGCCCACTATGGCGTTATTTGATTAGAGTCATTTGACCATGAAAACTGTCGTAAACAGTGTGCTTTCTCCGACCATAACAGAAGTTGTGAGATGCTGTCATGTTTATTGCTTTTGTGTTAGTATTTCTCCATAGCACCATGAAGTTATAAGCAAGGAAAATCAACTTTGGTGCCTTTACAACATTGATCTCACTCAATATAATGGGAATCACCTGCAAAATTAACTTGTTTAAGTGTGACACGCAATATGAAGCACAAACATTTCAAACTATATATTTTGATATTTCTTATTTCACAACGTTGCAAATGCTAATAATGGTTAGTTGGATAATACTAACGTCGAACACACATATTTTCAGCAACTAATTTGGCACAAGCCAAAGGAGAAAAGATTAATCCTACATTAACTCATCCTCCACGACCAGGGCATGGATATATTTTAAAGTAAATAATCTTGTCACGAATATTATAATAAGAGAATTTATGTGCATACTAGAGAGATTAGTATTACTTGATTAGTTTTTTCAACAACAATTAAAAAAAATGAGATTTTAGTCTTTAAAGAAGTTAAAAAAATGAGTCATGTGCATGTTATGTGCATCCTTTTCCATCTGAAAGCACTACTACGGTGAGGTATTATTTTTGCGTAAATAATTTTAGAAAAATTGATCTACATAAAGAAAACCTAAATAAGAAAGAAATGAAGAAGTACCCGTGATAAAATCATGCCTAAACATGCCGAGACTAGAGTTCTTTGTCGGCCGAAGAAGCTGTAACTCGGATAAGTGAGTCCTGCAAATCAAGCTCGAACTACTCCGATAATGGGTAGAGCGATGAAGGAGGGGCATTATACGTGTATCTAGCTGACAGCAGAAGTAATGGTCCAAAGAATAGAATTGAGTCTAAGCCCAACGCTTGCTGGAAAATTTAATCCACTATGTAAAGCAGTAAAATGGGCGAGTGTGACAGTTTCTTCCTTTTCTTCTTGCCTTCATTGTCCATCATGCCTGCCTATATCTACTGCTATGCTTCTGCTGCACATTTCTTCAACATCTTAAGTGACGCATTTGCCTCCTCCATACGGTCTTTCTTAATGAGAAACCTCGAGGTCTCACTAAGAAAGAAAGAAAGTACAAGAAGTGGCAACGCCAAAAACCCACTACTAGCAAAGGACCATCCCCAACCATAACGGAAGTTGTGAGATGCAACCACATTTACTGCTTTCGCGCTAGTACTTTCCCGTAGAACCATAGAGTAATAAGCAAGGGAAATCCAGTTTGGTGCCTTTACAATATTGATCTCACTCAATATAATGGAAATTACCTACAAGATTGTAACTTGTTTAAGTGTGACACGCAATATTATGCACAAAGCATTTAAAACTACATATTCTTATATTTCTTATTTCACAACACTGTAAATGCTAATAATGGTTAGTTGGATAATTCTAACCCTGAATACTCGTATTTCCAGCAACTAATTTCGCAATAATAAAATAAATATGAGATTTTAGTTCATAAATAAGTTAAAAAAGTGACATGTGCATGTTATGTGCATCTTTTTCCATCTAAAAGCACTACTCGGGTGAGGCATTATTTTTGCGTAAATTATTTTAGTAATATAGATCTATATAAAGAAAAACCAAATAAGAAAGAAATGAATAAATACCTGTGCCTAAATCATGCCTAAACATGCCGAGATTAGAGTCCTCCGTCGCTTGAAGAAGCTGTAACTAGAATAAGTGATTCCAACAACACAAGCTCGAACAACTTCAGCAATGAGCGGAGCGATGAATGAGGCATTATTTGTGTATATAGCTGACTGCACAAGTAATGGTCCAAAGAATAGTATTGAGTCTAAGCCCAACACTTGCTGGAAAATTTGAGCGACTATGTTAAGCAGTAAAATGGGCGAGTGTGACAGTTTCTTCCTTTTCCTCTTACCTTCATTTTCCATCATACGTGCTAACATCTACAACTCTGCTTCTGCTCCACATTTCCTCAACATCTTAAGGGACGATTTTGCCTCCTTCATACGCCCTTTCTTAATGAGAAACCTCGGGGTCTCACTAAGAAAGCAATACAGTACAAGAAGTGGCAAAGCGAAAAACCCACTACTGGCACAGGACCATCTCCAACCATAACGAAAGTTGTGAGACGCAGCTTTCACGCAAGTATTGCCCCATAGCACAAAGGAGTTATAAGCGAGGGAGATTCACTTTGGTGCATTTCCAACATTGATCTCACTCAATATAATGGGAATCACCTAAATATTGTTCAACAACTAATAAATACAAGTACAACCAATTAACCAAGTCCTTCAAATGTAAATCTTTCATCCATAAGTTTTTCAAATAATAATCCTTAGAATATAATCCTTTCCAATAAATATATTTTGTACTTCCTTCGAATAATTATCTTTCAAATATAATTCTTCCAAATAAATATCTTCAGATATAATTATTTTAACAAGTCTCTTCCGAATATAATTCTTTCAAATAAATATATTTTTTTGAATAAATGTTCTTTCAAAGAATATTTTTTGAATATAAGTCACCCGGTGACATTTCAAAATAGTTAATTGAAAATAAGTACCTTTGAGTATAATCTTTTCAAATAGATAACCTTCGAATATAAGTCACGCTGTGACACCTCATCTCATAATCATACAATACGGGTCTCAATACTTGAACCCTAACACTTGGCATCATGTGCCCTCATCACACCCTTATGTACTTTTCTTTTGCTTAGACACTCTGTACTCAGAAACATCGACAGGGGATCTCCCGGGATCCCGTCCCGTAGCCCCAAACGTAAAAGCTTGGGGATCTCTCAATATCCTCAATATATGTGCTGGGGATCTCTTGGTATCTCGAGGATCTCTCAGTATCCTCAATATATGTGTTGGGGATCTCCTGGTATCCCGAGGATCTCTTGGTATCCTCAATATATGTGCTGGGGATCTCCCGGCATATCGATCCGTAGTCCCGAAGTAAATATCCAGTACAGGGGAATCTCCCAGGTGATCTCCCATAGTCACAAATACAAATATGCAGGGGGATCTCCCGGAATATCGATCCGTAGTCCCAAAGTAAATATCCAGTACAGGGGAATCTTTCCGGGTGCATTCCCGTA